TGAGAGATAAAAATTACGAATGTGGGGAACGTATGGCCTACAACTGATATACATATAACTGACAAATGTATCGCTTAATACGAGATAACCGGAGATATGACGAGATAGAGTGTTTGAGATAGACGAAGGTGACGACATAATTGATATGAATTTTATCAGTTCACTCACTACAAAACTTCTTAAATAAAACACAAACATACACAAGCATTAATTTGCAAATAGTTGGTGATTCTCAATACTGATATACCGTCAGTAGTTCGAAGGAACCAGATCCGTAGTGAGCAGGGTGGCAAAATTGGAATGATATTTTCGTGCATACTATAATAAATATTCTCTTGGTCAAATTGACAAATTTTCCTTTTTGTACACATTTTGCGTTGACCGTATCTAATAACCGAATCAGTAGCATAGAAAAGGGACTCCATTTTTGTTTATTTAATATGCAAAAAATCTTCGACAACCATTTGCGTTGTGGTAGGTGTTAAGGTTCATGTAACAGAGAAACATCTTCCGAGGTGTAGCCCACATGGTGCAGAAAAGTAGGAAACTCCATTCATTTCATTTCACTTCCGATAAGTAGTGAATTGTATTGTTAATTTTCATGGCATTTCTTTCAGTAAAAACGATGACGTTTGGAAATAAAATCTAAAAAATTTTCCAAATCAAAAATGAGGTAAGATCCTTTAAACTTTGCACATTGGTCCCTGGGAAGATAATGAAATCGTTTCTATCGCTTTCTTATCTTAATCATTTTTTCTAGTCAATTGTACACTAACCATTGACAACAACAATCCAAGTGTAAACATTTTAGACTTGACACTCGTGAAAAGTTTGATGGAAAATTTCAGAAGTTTGTTTGCTTGACACGGCTATTGACTTCTTTTTTTTATCTGAACGCCGCCTTACAATTCTTGGGTCACTAAGGCTTTTGAGATATGACCACTTATATGATCAAGTCATAAAGTTGAATTGTCAATTTATTGTATCTATTGGTCAATTGAAAACCACCAGATTAACGTAATATGTACAACTAAAATTGAGCTCCAACAGCTTTTAACGTCCAAAGTTGCGAATATGGCTGTTTTCGGACAGCTATAAAACCGGAAGTACATGTCGGAGGTCAAATGTCAAAGTACCAACTGATAGCCAAGGTCAATGACTTTTGACCTTGTAAAGTTCACTGAAAGGCTCAGACTAGGATGAACGAGAAATACAAAACATTAGTCAAAGAAAGTAGCAATAACCCTTTTTCCAAAAACGACAATAAAATTGTAAGAAGTCCCCTTTTCAACACAAAGGACACTTTTGTTCTTCTGACCCAGAGCAGATGAAAAACATAAACAACTTGTTCTAAGAAATGTCTGTATTTGAAAATTGTTCCGATTTTAGATAACTTACTTACAGACTCTGCAATAAGTGTTAATGATTAATGTAGAAATAAAACCTGCCATTTAATTTGATTAACGACAAACAACAAAAGGGTCATGATAGTAAACATTTCAATTTAACCAATATCTCGATGAACTATTTATTTTTTCACTTCACATTTTTTAAACTTTAAACATGTATTTACAAAATAAATCCTTGGATTATTGGAATTCGAAGTCGGTGAAGGCAATGTTTACCATGTGAACGAAAGAATTTTGTCATTGTGCAACGCAACGAAGTATCTTTTTGATTTGTTTAGGAAAATTTCGAGACCCATGTCCTGGTGTCGAAATGGTGAAACAGGCGATAAAAGTCTTCGTGGGAAGTTTTAAATCATAGAGATAAGAATGTCGATTATCTTCTAGGGTCAATATTAACAGTTAGTTTTCAATTCATTGTATATATCCATGCTCATCTCATTGTCTTAGGATTTGGAATAAGGACCGTAAATTTAAAGTCAAGGTAAGATACGGTCATATTTTTTAAAGCTTTCAGTAGTATATCTACAGCATAAAGAATTATTGATTGGTTCACTGAAAGAGGGGCAACTGGAACAGACAAAGAGTTTCAACAGGCGTAGGACAGTTGCATCTAACCGAACCTCACCGGACAAATGCCCACTGCACAATCGCTCATTACAGAAATGAAAAATAGGACACAAATTTTTACATATTTAGTGTTTAACGCTTCTTGTATCTGGTGAGCAACTGAGCATATCCCGTGGAAGGTCAGCTTCTGGATGTCTAGATTACCTCAGTAGAGCTAAAATTTCAATTGTAAGGGCTGACAGATTGCAGGGTCGTCAAATCGCTGTTGTTCACTAGCAAAGCCGTTGACGTGTACGCTTCTGTAATGAATACACTCTAAGATGAACCAAATTATCACCGATTTGCCCGATTTCATAAAGAAATAATGCCCGAAGTTTAAAAATGTAACATCATCAATGCAGCGCGAAGTGGAGTCAATATTTACCCATTATTTTCTATAGCCAACCTTCGCTTGCATAGTAACAACCGAAGCCTCGGTTTATTCTAACAACAGATTGAATGACTAAATTTTTTTCTTATAAATGACACTTCAAAGCATTATTCGTTTATGCTTCTTCGACTAACATAAATATTTAATTAATTTAATTTGATAATAAATAGTACACCATTTATTAATATTATTGTGTTGCTTACATACTTTTAATAATTGAACATCATATTAAAGTGTTGTGGTTATTGTGAAATTAAGCAAATGTAATTTCTTTGCCTTGCTGAAATGCATCTAAAACAGGACAAAACATTGGACTACGCTACCTTCTATTATTATTGTTTAGTAAATTGCCTTTGGTTAATGGGAAGTAACTCCTTATTGGTATTACCAAACCTGATTCGTTGTTATCCATAGCAATATATAGTTCATCTTCACAATATCAAACTATTACGAACTGCGTCTTATGATTTGACTGCAATAGCGATGCAGGGATCTGTAAATAATAAAAAAAACATGATTGGGCTATGATTTTATGGATTTTAACTGGATTTGAAGGCAAGGCATTCTCACTTACCTTCAACCTCAAAATGTCAAGTACCTTGGCAGCCTTTCTTGTGTCACACAAGTTTGTGGATGTAGCGAATACAGCCAATCGGGGTCCTCGAAAGAAAGTCTATAAACAATAAGCCATAATGTCGAGTGCTATGATTGGCTGTATTCTCTTAGTGTCCGATTCAATCAAATCGCTGCATTCAGTGATACAAGAAAGGTGACTAATGTAGAGAAAGTTGACATTGTGAAGATGCAGGACTGAATGACAGCAGACAGCTGACAAAATCTTCACTGCACCAAGACAACAGTCTTGAGATATCAATATCTGGAGAAATAAATATATAAATATAACAACCTTCGCAACAGACAAGGTCATACAAGTTGGCCCGAAAACCTATATTAAAATTCAAAACAAAACCAACAATGAGGTATCTCTTACCATCAATTGAAGGAGAGCTGTCATGTCCTATGCACAGAAATCTTACTTAGCTAATCAAATATATTTAAATAAGACGTCTCTGTTATTTCGCGGTATCGGATTTCATCTAGATCCTTATATAACAGCCCCGATTGCCCGACATTGACAGACCCGGCATAATTACACTTTCATGTAGATTCAGATTTTCGAATATAAAAAGTGAGTTCGAGAAAAAATTACTTGTGCCTGTGAATTATTTGGATATTAATTCTTTTGAATCGTTCAGTTATTTTCGCTGATTTGATTTTGATTTTGGCCTAAAAACCAGCGTTTTTCTATATACTCGGATTATTATCGATAGTTTAATGCAGGATAGAACGTAGGATGGTTTTGTGTCCTGTATCTAATAGGGATAATCAACATTTTATTCGTTATTTTATTTAAGCATACATTTTTTTTTAATAAATCAACACACTTTACAAAAAACATTATTCGTTATGTTCTTGTTTATGTTACAAGCATATATTGTTTTAAACAAATCAACACCTTTTACGAAAAACATTATTCGTTACACGCATTTTGTATTATTTTGATGAAATACAATTCTGAACAAAACTTTATTCGTTATGTTCTTTTGTTTTATAAATCAACACACTTACAAAAAAAACACTATTATTACACGAATAAATTTTTGACAAAATACATTTAAAACAAAACTTTATTCATTTGTTTATATTAAAAGCATATCTTTTGTTTTAAATCACACATTATTAGTTATATTCTTGTTTAGGTTGCAAGCATAATTTTTATATATATAAATCAACACAATTTACAAAATACATCATTCGTTATGTTATAATTCGTTATATTTATAATATTTATAAAATATACAAATACAGGTAAAATATACAAATTTGTATAATATGACACTGACTGCACAATGCAAAATAATAAATGAACACAATATTGACGTACAACCGTTTAGTTTGTCGTAATTCCATACGTTCACTTTACATATGAACACATCAGACAGTTATTTTTGCAGTTACATAGTGCTAGTGTACTTTTATAGACGGGAATTCGAATATCAATAGAGCCCATGTCGTGTTACCCACAAAACTATTTTTTCGAACTCTTTGGGTTTTTTTTAAATATCTCGCCGACAAGTTAACTGTGAAAACAAATTCGTCTCTTCTGCTAATATTGATAATATTGAACAATTAAAAAATAACTTTCATTGTCAAGGTACCCAAATTTTAAAGAATGAAACACTCATTCACAACTTTTCAACACCACTAACTTCAAGCGAACACTTATCGAAAACAGAATTTGAGAATGGAGTATTGAGAATTTGAGGTGGTTTTGTATTTTTACGTTTCATGAATGAGGTTTATGAAGTTTTTGTGTTCTTCTTATTTCATATTGTAATATATAATAACACAATAGTAACAGAAGCCACAATAGAAAGTACGTCAAAAAAAAACAAAACTTAACGGGAAATGTAGTTGCATTAATCATGTTAATTTTATCTTAGTCATAATTTTATCAGTTATTATTTGTCATTATTTTCTCATTTTCCAAGATGGAAAAAGAAAAGGACAAGGCACCCGTGGATGAACTGGAGCGGGGAAACTGGTCCGGGAAATTGGATTTCTTTATGTCCTGTGTGGGCTATGCTGTTGGTTTGGGAAATATCTGGAGATTTCCATATCTTTGTTTTAAAAATGGCGGCGGTAAGTTTACTAATTATAATCCGAGAAGATAATATCACACATATGACAAAGTTGAAATGAAAAACATGTATTTAGGCTATTGCTACATTTTCAGCAGGTAGGTATTACACAATCTTAATTTTGTTAAGTTAAGCAAATCTGCATTTTAACTAGAAAGCGTGTGCAAAATTTAGTTACTGCTTTTCAGCTTCACACGCACCTAATAATACAGGATTTGTTTAACAAAATTTGCTTATATCTTATAAGTCATACTTTAAAAGGTTAACTTATTATAAACCTTTTTAAAATTGATCGCCCAGTAGCTTTATAGACACCGACGTTCTTTTCAAACTCATACAAACGGAGTTATATTACCTGCATACCTCGCCTTGGTTTACTTGCCGATCCGAACTACGGGATGTATTCCGGGCAGCCCCTCTGACACGTTATGACAAACGAGGAACCCGGATTGCAAGGTACTCTCATTCTGAAAGGTATAATATTCAAAAAGAAGTATACAGTTTGACCCATACTATTATTGGAAAGTTAACACCCATTGATAACAAAAGTTTTCTCCCTTTGAACGTTGCAGATACATCGGACAATATAAGACATTATGAACTGAAGAATCTATTGTCATTGTCAAAACCAATTATCTGTGTATCGGAAACATTTCTGATAAATTGGATTCGACTAGTTTTAATATTGATGTTTGGGTAGAGGGAGTAATATAGACGGAGTTACTTTTAGGGACTTCCTTTTTTTCAGGTGCCTTTCTCATACCGTATGTTATCATGCTACTCATTGCTGGTTTACCGCTTTTCTTTTTTGAGTTGGGATTTGGCCAGTTTGCTTCACTTGGACCCATAGCAATTTGGAATATTAATCCACTATTTAGAGGTAAGACCGTAAAAGATCGCATTCATATCGTCCAACGATATAGAACATCGGATGTTGATTGGTATATTTCATGGGTAAAGGGCAAAAAAAGTACACTCTCCGTAGTTGATTTTCGAGTGATGACTGTCTCAATTTTAAAGGTTTTGGTTGTAGGGGGTGGGGGTTGGAGTGAGTTTGTCGCAATCACTACAATCAGTCATTCTTTTGCAGTGTGACATTGACGAAGATCTCACAGAAACCATATGGGTACAATTTTTATTCATTTTCATACGAATTTTGAGGATTTACAGTTCTATTTCTCCGACGTGCTATTGCTATAAAATTGTGATAATACAATTGCGAGCTAATTATTTCTATGCTCTGAACTGCATCTTCACAATATCATGCTATTACAAACTTCGTCCTATACCTTGACTGCAATATCCACTTTATCGTATCATTGAAGTTACTCTACACAAAGTCTGTAAAATTAGATCATGGTGTTTCCGGCCGACTGTATTCTCTGGCGTACAATTCAATCAAATCTGTGATACAAGAAGCTATTAAGTCAAGGTATAAGACGTAATACGTAAGTTCGTAATAGCTTGACATTGTTAGGGCCATCTCTTGATCCAAAAAGGCGGATAAATATTTTACGATGGTCCAGTAAACGCTGTTAATTAAAGTGGGTAATTTTTCAGGTATTGGTTTTGGGATGATAGCTATATCTGCCATGGTGTGTATATACTATAATGTAGTTATAACTTACGCCATGTTTTACTTATTGGTATCGTTGATTTCAATGGACGGTCGTCTACCTTGGACCACCTGTGATAACGATTGGAATACTGAATATTGTCTCTCTAAACCTTTACCGTCTTTAACGAATCTCACTGATGTTCAGAAACTCAACGCGACAATGGGTAAGATAATGCAATGGGTGTAACCATATTTCATAGCATAGTTTATATTATATTTCATAGCATAGTTTATGTTATATTTCATAGCATAGTTTATGTTATATTTCATAGCATAGTTTATGCTACATTGAGAACAAAACTGATGGCATGTTTCATTCCATATTTTGCATAATTATGTTATGCAAATCGTATTAGCATGCATTAAGCTTTAAATTTTTATTTCAATTTACCTGAAAATCGTATTATTTCCACACTGACGACTATCATGCGAATAACAGTCGACCCAAATGAGATCTCTTCAAGCACAGTTCAATGGAAACCAGACCTTAAATTATTTTTTGTTTCAGATATGCTCAACAAAACGTGCCTTACAGGAGGATTAAACGATTTAGGATTAACAATGGATGATCTAACATATAATCTTTCCATTACTAATCTCTCAACCTGTAATATTAAACATCTATTTAAACTACCAAGTGAGGAATATTTTACGTAGGTAATTTAGCAATGGTTAACTACTATATCTAAGTCACAATAGTTCATTTCGGGAACATTTTCAGGATTGGTGCCAGTGTACATATAGGTATAAATTGGACTAAGAAAGCGCAATGGAATATACGAAACTAATCATATTCATCCAGTCTTCAGTTCATATTTTGTTCGTGCCCTGCGAAAAGCCCAGAAAGTGAGCTTAGTATTATAGATGGTTGTAATAAACTTTAAACGCATTACACCTATCATTAAAACGGATCCACAAATTCAATATACAGTGATATATACATAATCTGGTCAAGACATTTATTTGACTAAAATGCATTTAACCCCTCTTAATTTGATTTGCTTTTCAGTCGATTTGTTCTTCAGTTACACGAAGCTGAAAATTTCAGTAATATTGGTGGAATCAGTTTAAAGTTAATATTTATCTTAGCTATATCATGGATTCTATTGTTCTTCTGTTTGAAAAAAGGAGTGAAAACGTCAGGCAAGGTAAGGCATTATTACTAGAAATGAATTCATGAGATGAATTGATTATACAAAGCGTTAAAATGATTCTTATACGAAAAATGTGTATATGTAGTGTTCTTGTAGCATGATCATAACCAAACCAATGGCAAAGAAAAAAGAATGAAAGGTTATGACAATGATCTCTGCACGAGTTATGAAAAGATAGCAAGAAACATTTTTTCCAGCAAGGGGAGGGATACGGAATGCGTCCTTGAAATTAAGGATAAGTCGATTTGAAAGACTGCTAGCAACTTACAGTATCTGGACAATTGTTTGATTTAGCCAACCTGAGCGGCACCACGACTGAAAAATTGCATCGTAATTATTTGCTCTTTTTCTACAATCTGACATAGATTAGTTCTTGGGGTCCACTTATTCAGTCAGGATCTGCTGACATCCAGTGAACGCAATTTCTAGTAGTCAATTTCTCAATATGAATTTGTGCATTTCGTTTATGTCGAATGCATCAGATCCAATGAAATGCTTTGAATCACTAGTCGACCTAGAGTCCTTCTTATACATATCATCTTATTTATTGTAGGTTGTGTATTTTATGGCAACGTTTCCCTACGTCATATTAATCAGTTTGTTTATACGTGGATTGTCTCTAGAAGGTCATATGGAAGGGATCAAATTTTACATCATACCAGAATGGGAAAGACTTCTCGACGTCGATGTAAGAACTTTTTTCTCGACCTAAATGTAAATGTTTACGTACAATTCGGTACAGATGATCACCAGGATATTCAAATTTCAGCGCTTGATGTTCATAACTTCACGCTATTACACAATTATTGGTAGATATGGGTTCTTGCAAAAAAGGTTTCCTTTCGGTAATAGAATCTATCCTTATCATATTTTCAAAATGAACGTGCGATGTTTAGTTCTACTGCATTAAAGAAAACGTACCGACAGCATTTGGTGTACTCGGAATGTCGCCAACCCGTGCGCTAGAATTGATTTAGGAAGGGTTAGTGGTAGTATTTTCGTTCTAAACAATTAATAATACTGTGAAAAGCTGAAATGTAGATACATCTAAAAGGAAAGCCAAAGATAACTTATAGAATATTAAGGCAACTAACTCCTCAATATCAGCATATACTGCAACTTGTCACTACCAACAACCAACCTTCAAAAATATTTTCTTTCTCAGGTCTGGAGATTAGCAGCTACCCAGATATTTTACTCCCTCGGACCTGCGTTTGGAAGTTTAATTATGATGTCCAGTTTTAACCCTTTCAGACACAATTGTCACAGGTCAGTAATGTGTCAATAATGTGGTGGTTGTAGATTGTTTAGTTGAACATGCCCATGCTCACGTCCTGCTACCACATTTTTGTCTGCTTCGAGGAATCAAACATCATTATAGTTCTAAGATAATAATTCTTACGATCATAGATGCTAAATTTTAGTCCATAGATAAACAAGTGATTTCAGGTTTTGCATCCTAAAACAATATCGAAGCCTTGTATATTCTACTATCGGTAACATTCTTTTGAAAAGTCGCCTCCCATCGCTCTAGAATATACCTTCCTTGCAACGATAAGCGGAGTTAGATTTGACACCACCATCTCGTATTTGCATCACGCAAAGAGCAATCTTATGGGCGATATGATCAATTATAAAATGATTATCTAGCTATAACTCGAAATATATGATTAACAAAGATTGTCTTATATTTCAGAGATGCTATTATTGTTTCATTTATCAACTGTTTTACCAGTGTTTTTGCTGGTTTTATTATTTTCTCAGTACTGGGTTTTATGGCACATAATACCAATCAAAGGGTACAAGATGTAGCAGTAGACGGTATGTTTTTTTTTATATTTTACGTTTGATTTAGTTTTACAGCACAACTGTTGAAGTTAAAACATCGTAGGTTGTAGATATAAAACTGAACCATTGCAAATTGCAGATACGCGACTTTTCTCTTAGAAACTTTATCTCACCAGATAACTTGTATTTGCATTTCATAGTGATTCGGCCTGCAGAATCAGGCACTAGGCAATTAAATTGGGGCTAATTTATACAAACGGAAAGCAACATGCAGTGTATAAGTTTTATACTTTGCCAGCCACCTTTTTTCGAGATACCTTGACCATGCACTTGGGTCTGAGTGTCCCATCCGGTGGTTTGACCATCATATGGTTTCTCCATCAAAATAGTTCATTATACCTCGTTGCTGCAATCGAACAAAGTACCCCAAGGCGACGAAGATCCCACCAAGCCAATACTGTCCAAATGATGTGATATTCTGTTTGACACAATGATAATTGATTTTCAGGTCCAGGATTAGTATTTATTGTTTATCCTGAAGGAATAGCTCATATGCCTGGTGCTCCTATTTGGGCTTTTCTGTTCTTCTTTATGTTGGTTGCTCTAGGTTTGGACAGTCAGGTACAGTATTTAATAAATCACAATCAATGGTTATAAAATTGCCGAATGCTTCCTATACTAGGTCTGCTAGTGAGACTTGGGGTAGATATCATCATTTACGAGCATTTCAAATAATCCAACTTGAGTAGCAGGTTCATAAAACATGTATATCTATTGGCCTACGCAAATTTTGGATTTCGTTGCAATGCATTTTTGATATCACCTTTGAGAGTTGAAGATGTTGGAATCCAGCTGCGTTTCCAATAAGATTGATTGCTTATGACTTTAAGGTTTCGTCCTCACAATATATAAACAAGCATTTGTATATTGTTACCTTGATCGAATTGAAATGAAACAAATTGAAGACTTTTTTCTCATTTTTTTTTCAGTTTGCCATGTTTGAAGCAATTATCAGTGCTATTATTGATACTTTTCCACATTTCCTTCGACCAAGACGAACAAAATTTGCTATGTTGTGCCATTTTATTGGATTTTTATTGGGGATACCCCTTGTTACGAAGGTATTTTATGAACTTTGGTAAACAAGCAATCACCTTGATGTTGCCCAGTGGATTATAATGATTCCAATATTATTTATAGAATTTTTTCATCTGTTTGTTCTTAGAATTCTCCTTAAAATTTTAATTAATAATTGGGCAACCAACAATCATGCTTGAACAAAAGAACATTTACTGTTGAAATATTTGAGAAGAGAGAGAGAGAGGGGGGGGGGGGGTGTTATTATAACTAATCCTTGTAAAACACCATAGGTCTTATTTTCCAGGGCGGTATATGGGTATTAACATTAATGGAATGGTATTCAGCCAGTTTTGCTTTAATGATAGTTTGTTTATCAGAATTAATTGCTGTTGTATGGATATACGGTATGTTTTGTAAAAGTTTAAAAGATGGTTAACAGGTTAACTTTCCAGTATAATGTTGGGCGTGGTGTGGATGAGCAAGTATTCTATATTTCATATGAGAGTTTCTGGTTAATTTTTCATTCTTCAAGTATCACAATGAAATTTAGACGTCACCTGATTTTGGCTTACACCTGTTGTACTCGAGAATGACCTTAATACATTAGGTTAAATTAAGCAATATCTACTCGTAGAAAACCAATAACCGTTTAGTATCTAGTCATAAGATAATAATGCAACCATCATCTTCTCTTTTAAAAACAATTGAAGCCTCCAACAGAAGCCATTTAACCTTTAAAGGACCAGGTTGCCAAAATATTGCTTAATGCCAAATTGTTATATCCTTGAATCTTTAATATTGTTCTTTCACTATAGGTTTAAAGAATTTCTGTGCTGATTTGAATCTAATGCTTGGTTTTGAACCAGCTATTTACTGGAAAGCTACATGGTTAGTTATAACACCAGTTGCTATTGTCGTAAGTAAAGTTTTTCGTTAGCACCTAAGGAATTGAGGGAACGTCTTGAGCCTTTGAAAATACTTCCCTGACAAGAACTTGATTAATGGTTGTCCTAAGAGTAGTTAGTATCGACCAAACGTCCCCATTAGAGATCGTAGCCGTGGGTGAGATTGTTCCAACAAAAGCTTAAATTTCGCCTTTTGCTTTTTTTACTGGTATCATTCCATGGTTCCAACAAATTTGAACGACCTAAACTCTAAATAGTCAGTCGTAACGTAACTCTCAGTTAGAGTTACATTTATCTATTATTTACTAGTGACCATTCTGATATTATGTCGAAAAGAGCTGAGCTTTCAATGTTTAAGTTATAAAGTAATCCACAGTTTACAATGAAACTATCGATCATTGCGGGCTGTTCGACTTTAAAATCAAACTATCGATTGTCAACTGTTTTTTATACCTTACCTTAGGATAAAGACGAACCTTACTAGAACTAAATATTTGGCATTATTACGCGAACAGTATCTGTTGGTGATTTCAAATTGTCTCTGATTTTTTGTAGCTTATGTTGATACTGTCAGCCATTCAGAGTAGTCCAGCATCGTATGGTGATTATGTGTTCGAACCCTGGGTTCAGTCAGTAGGATGGGCAATGGTTGCTATACCATTAGTCTTACTTGTATTACCAATGTTTTATCAGATCTATAGTTACGGCGTAAGTAGCTGATGTCATCTTGTCATCTTCAAGCAGAAATATTATACACGTATTTTTTAAAAATCTCTGATTCCATAATGCTGATATCTTGATTATAACTCTATGATTTGGATGTTTTAGTCAGTTTCAACATTTATGATGCCTAATACTTTTATACTTCTTGCCATTTTTAACTTCTCGTAGGTTCAGTCGCGTGGTTGTCATTTAATTCCAACGTTTGATAAAAACCGATTCTGAAAGTTGCTCTATGCATAGGCGTATATCAAACTAAAGTATTTAAAGTGTCAAAATATTGTCCTATCATTTACATCAAATGGTAGGAATTTTGATTTTGCATACGTAACTGCCTTCGGATGGTTATTAGTTGCATCCATGCATCTTATGGTATTATCTTCTTTAACATAAAAGACACTTAGGAGAATAGGACAAACCCTTTCGATCATTTTTTAAAACACTGTTACAGGGTATTAAGAATGCTATGAAACCAACAAAAGAATGGGGACCAGCTAAACTAGAACACAGAACGGGTAAATACGCCAACATTCCATCCACCATTACAACTGATAAAGGTTGTGACGCAACCACTACGAATGGTATCAACGGTAACTTAAAAGAATTCGACAAACTTCCAGGCCTTAATAATGATGGATTTGTTGATGAACGGCTTTGATTTACACAACGAGTATTGTCTATATGTCTACTTCCTGTATCGTTTGATTATTTTTTGTATTTTTGTATATAAATAAAAGTATTTTTACATTCATTATTTTTTCAATAATTAAGAAAGCATGTGTACCGGGAGTGTGGTTTTTGGGCCTTCCATATACAATCAATCCAATGCTTATGTTTCGCTTTTGGAATCATTGTGGCAATTTAGCCTCTTTTGATATTCAATATGCATTTCACCATTATGATTTAGGTAATTTGAGAAAACGATCCATCCAGTTTATAGAAAGCAATATCATATTATTTCAACGTATGACATGTCACGTATGCTTTTGTGCTACAGAAGACTCCAAACACATGTATGCTATGCGAAACACGTGCACAAACACGCACCCCTCAAAAAGTTATGTGCTAAACAAAACTCATAACACGCCCCTCGTATTGCTGTGTACTACATAAGACTCAAACACATGCCTTGTATTGTTGTGTGTTACATGAGACACAAATACACTTTTCGTATTGTTGTTGTTTTGTGTTACATTAGTTTCTCCTGATGTTGCTGTCAGTTACTTCGTTTATTCTGTTTTAAATGGTTAGATAACCGAGACTCATTAATTTGAATTATTATTAACGATGTAGTAGACTCGATGATCAGACTCTTATGAAAATTGCGTTGCTTGGGATTTCAAAATTACATAATTTAATGCAGATGTATGCAATGCCTTTATATTTGAAGTTTAGAAAATCACTGCCTTGAATTGAAAGCTGTTAATTGGAGAAATAAGACATCATAAAGCAGAATATTATTTGACTAACTTCACCTAGTTTATAATAAAAAGTAAAAACACCGATATGGAAGACTGCACACTGTACCTGTATGACTCAGAAATATAATAAAGTCGAGAACACGTTAAGCTTCGATGCCCTACTCATCTTTTATTTACAAAAATCAACGTAAATACTTCTCAAAAAATGTATAAAAAGTTTGTAAATAGACTTAAATGTCATGTGGAAAAAACCAGCACACCCCTGTATGAATATATAACATTATTTTGTAAAGTTTTTACTATACAGGACATCAAAACAATATTGTCCATGACCTCATTCATTTATAATGGATTAACGTTGAATACGTCATATTGCCCCTAAAATGACTAGTTTATTATATAAACACCTGTGAAAAAACTCAAGTTTGGCCCTTTCAATATTTAACTATTATAATGATGGTATCACTGAACTACAAAATTTTCCATTCCATAATAACTGGGTTTGACGGATCCGATTCTAATAAATGGGTTTAAAACGCCCGTACCTTCTGAGGAGCTGTAAAAATTTTCATTATATAGGGCCTAGTTTTTCGGTCTCTCCACCAGCCGACAACTTTAAAAATAGATATCGGAGGCTGAAATAGAGACAGATATTTCTATCTACAACATATAAAGATGCATATCACAGGTTAATCAACAAAGTATATTGAATTTTATTCTTATGATGTGGGATATCAAGAATGTTTATTTGTTGGCTTCGAGTTACTTCAATAGAAATCGTTACACAACGGTGTCATATAGGCAGAAATGTTTTATATTTTATGGCTATTATAAATTGACAGACCTTGAAGAAACCAGTTACCTTAGTTATTTTTGAAAAAGAGATTCACACAGTATCCATTTACAAATTTAGAAAACACGCAACATCTATTATAACTTTATGAATCTTACCATCAATTAAACCAGGAGTTTTCAACATTTTTCTTTCTATTACCCCATTTAGGTTCCTTGACCGAGTACATTATCCCCTTTAAATCCGTACTATTTTGTGATATTCGCTTAGCTTTTCCCTGCAGTTTTTTCCATGTCAGAGTTTATTATATATCCTGACTGAACTTGTTATTGTCCAAATATTTTAGGCCAGACTAAAGAGTGCCTCTTTACCCCAAAAATTCCAAATTACCACCTTGGAAGTAATTACCCCTATGGTGAAAACCCCTGTGTTAAACGATTCGATAAACGCTCGAATTTATTACTAAAAATATCATATAGCATATGATGCGATATGACAGACAAAATGCAATTATGAAACCACTGTGATCGGAAAGTTTTAATACTTTCAATGCAAAATCGACCTATTTACATAACTTGTGGGGTTATTGTACCGTATTAAACATAATCAACATATACACATAAAACTAGCCCGCCAGCAAAACTCATAATTTCTTTTTCGGAGTTTCCTTTCTTGACTTTTGTGACATTTCGACATAATTTGCCAGACACCGTAACATACGCCAATGAAAAGTGATGCGACATTCCACTATCAGCTAGTGGCAGCGCACGACTACCGGACTAGGGGTACAAATCGGATACAGACCGACTTAATGGGAGTACAGCATCCGCGGCTGAGATACAAAATGTGACAGGTATGTGAATTATCCACATTTGAGTGTTAAAAGCATAGAGAAAAATAAAGTGAATTTTGTAGTTTGATGTATAAGTGAAGGGATTACGCGATCATCGTGCAGTACTGGTACTTCTGAAGATTGTTTGCATATATTCCAGACCCTCGAAAATTTTCAACCATGGACTTTAACAATTCTGAATTCCTTTCTACGTGTTATTGGTGTATATTATGTCACTTTATTTATTTATTAATGAAAAAATATCGGTATGGACTCAAAATCATTTGAAGAACACTCGAGGCTAGTGATAATTAAAATGATATTTGGAGTATTATGTGAAAGTCGACTTATCTATCTTTGTGGGGTTACCAAAGCGAATCAATCATAATAAACATGTAGGTATTAAACAAACCTGCCAGCTCAACTCATAATTTCTGTTTTGGAGTTTCCTTTCTTGACCTTTGTGATATTTCGACATAAATTGCCAGACAACGTAACATACGCCACTGAGATGTGATGCGACATTGACTTTACTAGTTGATAAAGGAAAATAGTGACGGCGCCCGACTCCCAGGGTACAAAAAGGATACAGACCGTCTTACTGGGAGGATAACATTGTGGCATCTATGTGGGCGCTCAAAGGCAGAAGCCTCCCATGAGCGTCAGAAAGGCTTCCCCTAAGGATACTTTTGAAAAATAGAATCGATTTGGAGCATTCTGCCACATTTTTTAGGGCAAACAATGTATAAAAATCATTTTTTAAATTTGTTAGAAATGAAGTACAAATTAATGAGGGTACAAAAAGTTTTCTAGGGGGCGACAGATGGACCAAAAGTTAACAGACGACATTCAGTCTTTGTAGGCAAGAAACCTATAGCCTATACATATTGCCATCAGCGCATTAATAAACAACAAAATAAAGTCTCCAAAGCTAATTGATGCCACCTTCCCAACATGATAAAAAGAAATTGAATTTGAAATAATGACAGCAACGTCTTTGTGAATGACCAGCTCCAATCTTAAAAGTTTCTTTATGCAGACAAGTCGAAGCCTAGTTGAACTGCTTGAAATAGAGTAATTAATAAGATGTATTCAGGTAGACTTCAATGCAACATTTGATTGGGATAGTAGCAACTACGATGGATGGATGGTCACAAATTTCGACAGTTCGGGTAGTTCTGAAGACTATTTCCATATGATCAAGACCAAAATCAACCGTCGAAAATGTTGATCCATGGACTTTAATTAAGTCTGAATTTCCTTCCTAGGTGTTCTTGGTGTATAATATTCATTTTTGTTCCGGATCAACAAATTTTAAATCTATGACATGAGATACTTGTATATATGATATAATCATTTGGTACAGTTGATAAATTTCGAATAGCTTTTTAATTAACCACAATTTTTATGGAGAAATTCACTTTTTATTCAAAACTATGCAGTATTAAAGCGATTACGATTTGTTGAGCGGCTCCACGAAAACCAGTCGCAAGTTCTGGTAAATATGAAAAAAAAAGTCACAAGCCTGGCGATTGCTGAACAATGCAAAATGATCAACGTCAAAACGTTAACTATAATAGAATTACAATCCTTAAATACAAGAGGTAAAAGGAAAACACCGTACGAGCATTCATACGACATAACATGCCTTTTAAATTTGTGTTAATTTTACATTCAAAAGTGTTCCTTTCCTGTATCCGTTTGCGGTTCTTATAATTTTAGAAATCTTATATCAGTTTTAATGACAATATAACAAAATAAAATTCAAGTGATATTTTTACCTATTAAATTCTGCATGAATGATCCGCTTTAAGAACATTGTATTCAGAAAGAAATTTCACTTTCCAATTCAATGATTTTATGGTATAATTTAGAGAGCTTCAGTCGTTTTTACTTTATTCAATTCGGTCTTACTAAGCTTTTCTTTTTGATTGGTTTTGCATTCTCAGATATTGAGATGGATATTCACCATACACCCCCGTAACCACTCAATACTCTCGATTCTGATCTCAGAAAAGCTTTCAAAAAGAGTCTGTGGAAATTGCTGTCTTTGAGTCACCGACCAAAGATCACTAATTGGTGTTCAGTCAGGTCAGCCCAAATTTAGTCGGGTAACAAAATCGCTGTTTATTTTACATCACCATACATTTCTTTCTTCTTTTCTATTTTTATGGTGTGAAATGAGATATAACTATTATGTACTTCAAATGCTCATTCGTCTAAAATTATTCAACCGTAAAATTTCCTATTTAAAGTTTTGTTTGGGTTTTGCCTATTGCATAGGTGCAGTGTACTATTATTACAGATCAAATAAAGAGTGTTGTGACATTTTTGAATAGTTTTATATGCATACATTTTTTTGTTTTTTCGTGGTTTTGCATTGACATAGTATGTCAGGAAGTTTGTGTATTGCAGTGTATATTTCACAATAAAGGGTAAGTTGTGGTGGGGCTCAGGTTACCCTTGTGACTGATAGGCTCCTGGAA